TTCGGCCTTGGTGGATGAGAAGCGCGCCTTGATTCCAGTTGATTGGAAACAAGTGCAGCGGTGGAAAGACTCTGGAAAACGAGTAATCACCATCCCTGCTAAGGCTGTGTGGACAATTAAGGCTCCGGATGGTCGGCATAAATGTCGAATAGTGGCGTGTGGAAACATGGCACCCTCGAAGGATGAAAGTCGGCAGGATCACAAGGATGCTGTGTTTGCCTCTTCCCTTGATGTCACACACCTTCGATGTGCCTTGGCAGTAGCTGCGAGACGTTCCTATGAGATAGCCATCACTGACATTAGGACCGCATTTCTTAATGCGGAGCTTTTACCGAGGGCGAGGGCCAAGGCGGAGCAAGCCGCTGCGGCGGCTGCGCAGGGAGAGAGCGTACCAATCGATGAAATCGTGATCTTAATCCCTCCGCGTTGTTTGGTGCAGCGGGGCTTAGTCGGCAAAAACACCCTTTGGCAGGTGGCCAAGGCGATTTACGGACTTGACACTAGTCCTAGAGACTGGAGCCTGAGTCGAGATTTCTCGCTGAGGCGGGTAGTCGTGAAGTATAAAGATCAGGAGCTCAGATTGTTTCAATCGTTTGCGGACCCCAATCTCTGGCTTATCGCCGAGAGCGAACCGGAAAGATGCTGGAGCAGATCGGGTCTAGGGCTTGATCAGCATGAGGAGTCTGGAGTTTCGGTTTGGGGTTGGATTGGAGTGTACATAGACGACCTTATTATCGCTGCGTGCTGTGAATTGGTTAAGTTGTTGCTGAAGACTATTACCACTATGTGGAAATGTGGAGACCCAGAATGGTTGACCGCCGATTTGTGTAAGCCGTTGCGATTTCTTGGGTTGCAGTTGGCTTGGTCGTCTGAGCGCAATTTGCTTATCTGGCAGGAGTCGTACATTAAAGACCTTGCGGATCGGTACTCCCATGAGCTTCAGAAGGTTAAGCATTGCGGGACCCCGTTGGGACCAGGGGTAATGGAGCCGGAAGCAGTGGAGAACATTGACAGCAGTGTACTTCGTAAGTGTCAGCGTTTGATTGGCGAAATCCTGTGGGTCAGTGTGCGTACGCGTCCAGATGTGTCGTTTTCGATATCCAAACTTGCGCAGTGGATGAATCGTGACCCGTCCAGAACTTACCAACTGGGGTTGCATGTGCTTGCTTACCTGGTTGATTCTGCGAATGTTGGATTGGTGTACTTGTGTTCTGATCCGAGCGGCCCAAGACCGGGACGAAAGGAGGTTGGATGTAACAACCTGCTGGAAGTGCTCACGGACAGTTCATTTGCACCGGATGCGTCACGCTCTAATGAATGCTGCTTGTTGTTCGTTGAAAACTGCCTTGTTGGTTGGCATGTCACGCGCCAGGCTTATATGACTCAAAGCTCATGTGAGACTGAGCTCTTAGCAACGGCTACAGGATGTTGCTTTGCACAGGCTCATGTCTACCTCTTGGCGGAATTGGCCCAGAAAGCGCCGCGCGTCCACATCTACAATGATAATCAAGCAGCCGTATCTGTCTTCGTAGGGCAAAACTCCCATTGGAGAACGAGGTCGTTGAGAATCAAAGCTCGCACGATGCGCGAGCGGTGGGAAATGGGGTTTTACATGATTAGCCACATTGAGGGGTTGCAGAACGGAGCTGATTTAGGTACCAAGCCTTTGGGAGCTCAACGCGTAAAGTATCTGTGCAGTCTGATCGGAGTTCAAGAGATAGGAAACACTTCAGTCCACAACCCGAAGGAGAGCCAGGGTCTGTCGAAGGCCACGTTGAAGTGTTTGCAGGTTGTGCTTTTGGCATGTATGGTTTGCCAAGCTGAAGGACACCGGTCCACTGAGGTTGATGATGACGGAATCGAATGGATGTTCTGGATAGGGGTCGTAGTTACGGTCGTGTGCTGTTGGGAAGGGCTGAAGTTTGGGATTAGGACTCTTTCGGCGGTTCTAGCTCGGCTGCGAAGGCCGGATTTACAAGAGCCTTTACCTGAGGACCATTTAGAAGCACTGCAGATGCAGACAGAGCTCAGAGAGGAGAGAGAGAGTCGTTTGAGAGCTAGGCGTCGAGGACTACCAGTTCAAACCACTGAGCCGGAACTTGAACCGGCATCTCAGCAGGTGCCCACTCGAGTGATCAGGTATTTGGACGATGCTGTTGAAATCCCTGTAAGTCCTTCGGACGACCGCCCTGCCCCACACGTGCGAGTGTTGAGTTTCGAAGAGGCTAGACAACAGGCGATTAGGGCTAATAATCCTCAGTTTTTTGGGACCCAAGGCCCAAGGGCGGGTGTCGTTGGCCTTCATCCCGATCGTATGGTTGCTCCTGCAATCACGGAAGATTGGCAAGTGCCGGTTAGGGTTCCTTTACGGGACATCGATCAGCAGCGGTCGGTCTGGGGAAGCAGGCTCTCGGCAGCAGGACCTGGACAGGATGACTTCCTGCATCAGCACCGGCGGTATTGATGAGCCACGTGGAGTTTGCAGGCACGGCAACGGCCATGCCAGCAGGGGGAGCGGAGATCAGGTAAGCCGATGCTCAGGCTCTGGATGCAAGAAGAAGAAGATAGAGTAGAAAGTAGTTGTATAGAAGAAGAAACATGTTGCTCTGCTTATTGGGGGGTAAAGCACCTTCTCGACAAAAGACAGAAGTGTATAGGAACTTGTACAGCAAGCTGTTAAGATGCTTTTCTGTCGGTCGTTCGCTCGTGGAAACAGTACTGCTGTGGCCATCCCCCTTCCGGGAGGGTTTAGGGTCTACTTGGAGGTTCATGGGTAGTTATAAGTGGGGTTATGATTAGGGTAACTATGGATATAACCCCTATTAGGGGGCTTATAACCCCATTTATAACTACCCGCGAACCTCCAAGCACACGATAACTTTTTAAGGAACCTTGTCTCAACCCTCGACATCTCTCCAGACTTTGAAGACTCTGAGCCCAAAATCATTGAATTCTGCAACTGGGAAGCACGTTCAATTAGTTCTAAGAGCTCTGCGAAAGGCTATAATCCCCTGCAATCCCCAAGCCCTACGGCGTAAAAATGGGTCCCAAACCACTGCCTCAAGCCTCGTGGCCTGACTCGCCCTTCCAAAACTTAGAGTTCAGTTTACAAGGCCTTCGTGTTTGGAGCTTAAACCCTACAAATCCTGGCACCTAAGCCTTAAAGAGTAGACCTTCCTGTTTGGATCGTACACTTATGCAGGGGTTGACAGAGTATGGAGACTCTTGAGACAACACCGGTTGATGTTATAAATCCTGCATGACCCAAAATAATCAATATACCATAATTCCCATAGTTTAGGGTCCTTCCGGTAATGCAGGATTTGTATCATCAACCGCACTCTCACAGACAGGCCCGGCTGCCACGACGGGACTGCGAGGACTTGTGAAGCTTGATCGTCAGGACACCCTGGTCCAAGCTGAAGTCCTGCAGCAAAACAACCTACTACTTGCTTAAGAACCCCCAAAAAATTAAAAAAAAATCATTATGGGGGTAATATAGGGATTATTGATTTTATTTTTTGGGGGTTTCTTAAGCAAATAGTAACAACGATTGCAAAGTTTTTCTTATGAAGGCCATACAAGGCCGAGTCAGGGCTTTAGGTGGGTGAGTTCATCCAAGCCTCTGTTTAGGGCTTTTTCGGCTGGAAGGTGGGGCAGTTAGGATGAAGCAGGGTTTGTCTTGTTTGGTTTCTTGGGTTCGCGAGGGTTTGTTCCGGGTCGTTCGCGGTTGCTTTGGGCGGCTGCATCTTTTACGTAGATGTGTCAAGCCTAAACTGCTTCATTGCTGGGCCTTCGTGGCTTTCGGATGACAGGCGTGAGGCATGCAACCCGGAGACCTTAAAGTAGAAGCCAGAAAGTTGGAATATGCTTATCCTAAACCATTTGTGGTAAATTATAAGGCATCCTACCCTGAAACTATATTCCAACTTTCTGGAGCTCCCTTTATCGGAACCCCTTTAAGGAAAATTACAGGGGACCCTACCATTAATCCATATTCCAACTTTCTGGAGTTCCCTTTTTACTGTACCAACCTGCAAACTAACTCAGCTCCTAAGCCTGACGTCCGAAAACCGTAAAGCCCGATCTCTGAACACCCACATCCGTACGTATACTAATTATACTTTAGCACTATGTGCTATAACAAACTGTCGTATAGTATGGTATTGTATCGACTTTAACTATAATCTAGTATAGTATCGTATAGTATACTGTAAAGTAGTATAGTACCCCTAGCACCACGTGAGCCTCTGCACCACGCAGTTCGAAGCGCCCATCGCTGTGATCGAAGACGAAGTTGCGCACCCAGGTCCCATGGTTCCTTTTAGGGTTCAGGGCTTTAAGATTTAGGGTTTAAGTTTATTAAGGTAATATAGTACCTAAAATAGTGGGATCCTTGTTATAAGGACCCCAAAACCAGGTACCCCTATTTTCGGAAGCTCCCAAACCCTAAACCCCATAGATCCCTTATTGGAACCCCTTAAAAGGACCCCTTATAGATCCCTTGAAAGGAGCCTCTAATTTTCGGAAACTCCCATTTTGGGTTTACGGTATTTCGGCTTCTAAAATTTACCATGACATCGGGGCTTTTGGGCTGGAGGCCCATTGAAAAAAGGGAACAAGGAGGGACCCTTAATGGGGACCCCTGGGTCCCTATAATGGGCTATATAATGGGCTATATAATGGGCTATATAATGGCTATATTAAGGGTATATACCACAAGCTAAACTAAACTACACTATACTGAGGGCCTCAGCGTCGATACCCTAGAAAGCTTCGGCTTACAGGTAGGGATTGGGGCACAGGGTCTTTGGCGTGCAGTATCGGATTGAAGAGGCCCAGGGATGATGCATTGGAATTGTTAAAGGGTTCGATTCTTTTGCAAGGTAGGTCTCATAGCATCCTCATCGGGGCTTTATGGCGTTGCCACGCTGCAACACCCCAAAACCTTCCAGGGTTTGTGGGATTTATATAGAGACCCGAAACCCTAAATCCTGGTTTTAGCCGAGTCTCTGCATGATGGGCTGCACAGGCTGGACAACTGCTTCATCAATGCGCTTGTCTTTCTTGATGGTGACTTGCACACCGTTGCTGAGCTCCTCCCAAGAGGCATCAGGAGTCTCGCGGTACGGGAATCGAGATATCAACACAACCACCCAAGCACCGCGATATCAAACTCAAGTATCGGCTTCTTATTGCTGGGCGACATGCGTACACCTCCGGTGTGCCCTTCCAAACCACTTAAATGCCAAATAACTTCTTAAGCACGAGGCCAGAAAGAGCAACATCACCTAGACCCAAAATGCCCTGTCCCTCGTATAGAATCCAGATAGACCTCCTTTACGACACCCATCAAGACCCCGTCAAGTATTGAACCCAGTACCCTCCGAAAAAGAAACCCTTCCGTAAACAGTAAACCCCAAAACCCCAAAGAAGCAACTGGGAGCTCCTCCCACTCGATGTCCTCCTCGCTCACTCCAGGGCATTCTATCTGGATGAGCCTTTCCGTGCCATCCTGATAGCTTCTGTCAAGAGACGATCCATGGTGCTTCTTCGAACTGGGGGTTTGGGGCTTGAGGGTTAAGGTTTAGGGTGTGAGGGCTCAGGATGTCATGGCTTCTGTCAGGCGAGGGAGGGATCCCTTCACCGGGCGTCTAAGTGTAGAGTGCTTAGGGGCTAGAGTCTCCACAAGGGGCTATAGAAGGGACTTATCATTCTTTGACGGGTCACAGCGTTTCTGTCGAAGCAAGTCTGTTCACCAACGGTTTAGGGTGTGGGCGGGGCCCGAGGGATGCGTTTAAGGAATCTGCCCATCGGGTTTCATAGGGGATAGTGTTCAGGTGATGAGACATAGGAGTTCTGCCAAAAGAAACGGATCATTATGCTTAGGGCTCTATAGGATATGGGTGATAATTATGGTCCCCTTTTGGGTCCCTAATATAGTACGGCACCTTTTATTTAAGATACCTCAAAAGGGACCCTCATTTTGACAACTACCCATATAGGCCTTTGCAATCCGGTTTCTACGTTGCTGGAGCTTCGGCGCTCTACAAAACTACAGAAATCTCTTGCCCAGCCCGTAAGAGATCCAGATTCGAAGAGCCAGGAAGACAGCATCCTACCATTCCCAACGTGTCATAATAAGCATAGCGTCACACATCCGAAAATCCTGTTCGACTTATACTGAAACCTTCTAAAGTAGCCCTTGTGATATTTGTATTCATTCGCCCGTACGGTAATCCATGGTAAGCCCTTATACTCGCCCTATACAACCCTTATAGCAACCATTGTCAGACGATTAGCCTTCCAGTAACCCTTGTTGTATGTTTTGTGTCTTTCAGGAGCCTGAGGTTGTGAGCTTCGAGAGAACCCAAGCACTGCTCGAAGGTGTTTCCTCAAGCCGAAATGCCGAACCCTCAACTAGGGTTATAGGGATTAAGGGGTTTAGGGATTAGGGTTTAGGGTTTTGAATAGGTCTAAAGTTGGGGATTGGGGCTTAGCGATTTCAGGTGTTTAGGGCTTGGGATGCCCTGAACCCTTCACATACAAACCAAGACCAAACCTAAAACCCTAAACCCTCAGCCCTAAAGCCCCAAACCCTAAAACCCTAAACCCCAAAACCCCTAAACCCTAAAACCCTAAGCCCTAAAGCCCCAAGCTTGTGGACATCGCGAACCTCGACCCGCTGGTCGAAGACGTTTGCGCAGGGCTCGAAGCTGACGTCGTGCGCGATGATCTCCCCGAGTCGCGAGATCACGCCTTTAGGGTTCCTGAAAAAGTTAAGGAATCCTTTCATGGGTCCCTTCAAGGGTTCTGTAGGATTCTTTCAGAAGGTCCCATACGCTTCCCTTAAGGGGTTCCTTTTAGGGTTGAGGGTGTAGGGAAGTTTCGGGCAGTTCATGACTCAGGGTCCAGGAGCTTTTGGCGTACAGTAGTTTAGGTTTAGCATCTAGGGGTTTACGGTTTGGAGCGGCTTTACTCGGTTTCGGGTCTGGCAGGAGATCGCACCTTGTTTCTTCATGGTGATTTGAGCATCTTGCCGTGGTGACACCAGCTTCATCACCTTGGTACTGGTCAGGGAGCTTGATTTAGGCTTCATGGTTTTTGAGAGTTGGGCTCCAAGTTCGAAGGAACCCAAGCTGAGCTGAGATGCCAGAAGAAGGAAATGGGAGCTTCCGAAAGAGGGGACCCTAATACAGTACCCCAAATAATATAGGATCCTTATTATAAGGACCCCAAAATAAGGTACCCTAAGTTCCGGAAACTCTTAAATCATGGTACCGGCTGGAGCCCCGGGGCATGGTGGCTTGAAGTAAGCTCCTCAGCAGCAACCCTACGGTTGATGATACAAATCCTGCATTACCTTAAGGACCCTAAACTATGGGATTCATGGTATAATTCTTATTATGGTTAATGCAGGATTTATGTCATCAACAGTATGTACACCTGCTGTAGCCTGCACAATTCGCATAAAGACCCGGCAGAACGTCGCAACAACACTCTTACCTGTTTACCATTATGGAATCAGGAAATTAGGTCCCAAACTTGGAGGGGTGTAATTCCACAGTGGTAGTATGTATGGACGCCCAGTCTGGGGTAGTGCCCAGCCACGCCCCGGACCACATAGTCGCCTTCTGCCTCAGGTTCTTTGTATCGCGCTGCAGTGTACTCGTCATATTCGACCCGCAGCTCCTGCAAGCATTTCAGGTTTGGAGGGTGTAGGGGTTTAGAGGTTTAGGGCTTTCGGTTTAGGACTCCCATGGGTACTTAGGCATCTATGGCTCTCAGTGTCTACAATTTACGGCTTAGGCTTTTTCCTATGGCTTTGTAGATTTTCAGGCTCCTGCACGCCCTTGTCGAGCTCGGGTGCGGTCTCCACCAGGAAAAACTTTGGGACTAACCTGGTGAACTCTGCTTCCAGCATTTTTGCGAGGACAACTTTAGAGCCCAAAGTGTGGCGGTGCTCCAGCTGCTGCATCAAGTAATCACAGTTCTTCTTGTTGAAGAGCTTTCCTGCTTTTGTGTTTTCTTGACACAGGCCGACATGATGCACAGGGGAAGCCGACTCCCCCAACTCAGCAGTGAAGAGCAGGTTCCCCATATGGGAGGCCCCACCTTCATAGCATTGGGTGATTTGGCGGGCGAAAAGCTCTTGGGCCTCCTTTGCGCACGAGGTCATCCGCATGTTGTGCACGACGATCAGCCCCTCCCCGAATACCCGCAAGAGCATGGCTGCGTACTCCTGCTCCAGCCAGGTGTTGTCGTTCACCACCAAAATCAGGTGGTGGGAAATCCTAGAGATCATGTCGAACATCATCGACTCGGTTGTCCGCGCGTCGAGAATTGCATCCACGTCTCCTCGGTTCTTGCAATGTCTTGCAATGAAACTTGCAGACTGCCATTTACTTAAATCAGCTAGGGAGATATGGGGTATCCCAAACCAACTAACCCTCAGAACACCGCTCCCAAAACAACTTCGAACCGACATAAAGTCCTCACTTTGATTAAAAGATACTTAACACGAACCCAGTCTCGGGACTTGTAAGATACGGTTCCTTGTACCCCAGGACTGTCCAGCACAAGCATCCGGCGCTCCGGAACCTAGGTCTCTGCAGGCTACACTGCTTTTCTGAAGCTCCCTTCCAATTGAATTCACGAGTTACGGTGTGGGGTGGGTACTTAGGTTTAAGCTTTGTGCCCAGTGCTTCATGGTTTGATGCTTGGGCGGGTTTAGGGTTTCAGGTTGTAAGGTTTTAGCGTTTGGGGTCGTAAAGCTTTGGCGTATAGGGTATCGGGGTTTAGAGCTTCTTTTACACCAAGTTCGGCCAGGATATGAAAGCAACGAGCATGAGGACAGTCTTTGGACTTGTGCCCACGTGCATAGCAGCTTTTCCCTCATACCAAACACAAAGCAACCCCTGACATAAACCTTGAACCTCCAATGCCAAACCCTGGGGCCCTTGACCCTGCCAACTCTTGAGCCCTGAAGGCAAGGAGCCCAGAGGAAGCTCAGCCCTCTGGTCGTGAACAGCTTTCCACTTGGGAGGTTCTTCCCGAAGAGCTTGTTCGTCAGCCAGGTCTTGCCCTTGTCGAACAGCCCCACCACGGCAACGATGCGGACCCGCTGCTCCTGCATTGCTTCAAACCTGGCAAGATAGGACAGCCGAGGGTTTGCAAGGAGAAGGCACGATGTCCGGCTCTAGTAGCAAACCCTGCATCCCCAAGATCTAAATCTAAAACCCAGAAAGCCTAACCCCTAAACCCAATACCCTGTGTCCCTGAACGCGAAAAGCTCTACATAGCGGCGCCCAAACCCGAGACCCTTAAACGTTCTTGAAGCGGGCCGCTTGGAGGCTGCAAACTGAAGCAGCTTGATCTCTCCCGTTGCCAGGAATTGAGCCAGCGAGTCGAAGGCCAGGACAGCATCGTAAGCCTCATCTGCACGACTTCACGCTTCGGGCGTGCGGGAAGGCTGATGTGAAGACTAGCATTAGGGTGTTTGTCAAAATTAGGGTCCCTTCTTGGGTACCACTCGAGTTCGCTTCATTGCTTAATCACCTGCACTGTACAAACGTTAGTGGATATGCTACAACGCCGGCGCGTATTGGGTACCCCCAAAAACTAGGTTCCGTATTATAGTAGGGACCCAAAAAGGGACCCTAATTTTGACAACCATCCATTTGCAGTCCCTTTGCCGGGTCTCAGGTCCGAGTTAGCTTCAGCAAGATTTAGGAGCTCACGCGTCACTGCCTGATTTCTCGCCAGAATCACTGTCATCTTGAAAGCAGATGCACCCAACCACAAACAAATCACAGAGTCTTCTCAGGAGTCCAGATGACAAGGGAGGTTTCAAAACATCGACCATCTTTACTGAGCATCTCCTTGTCTACGTCAGGGTTCAAGGTAAATCTCGATACCCTCATATAGGGGCCTTAATAACTAGAATGGGGTTTTGTTGCCCATTATACCATAATTATACTAAGGAACCCCTACAATAGAATAGGTGATTATTCAGGCCCCTTATGTAGAACCCTCACCGTAGCCTCTATAGTAACCCTTATAATGGCCGTTATAGTAACCCTTATAGTAGCCTTTCTAGTAACCCTTATAATGGCCGTTATAGTAACCCTTATAGTAGCCTTTCTAGTAACGCTTATAGCAGACCCCCAAAAGCGTGACAAGATGCCGTCACCTCGCCTTGTCCCGCGGACCGGCGCCTGGCTCGATCAAGCTAAGCCTTGAACTGCTCAACCGCAGATTGGGGTTTAGGGTTTAAGGTTTAGAGTTAGGTTTAGGGTTTAGGGTTTAAGGTTTAGAGTTAGGTTTAGGGTTTAGGGCTTAAGGTTTGAAGTTAGGTTTACGGTTTAGGGCTTAAGGTTTAGAGTTAGGGTTTAGGGTTTAGGGTTTAGGGGTTGGAGTTAGGGTTTAGGGTTTAGGGGCATAGAGTTCTCCTCATCAGCGTTCGAGAGTTGGAGCGGAAGTAGTAGGAGTAGGAGTAGGGGTAAGAGTGGGAGTAGGAGTAAGAGGAGCAAGAGCAGGAGTCGGAGGCAGAGTAGGAGTACGTGTAGGAGCAGGCATCGTCGCAGTAGAAGTAATGAGCAGCAGCAGTAGCAGTAGCAGCTTGTAATATGCGCAGACATCCCACATCTGGAGCAAACGCTACTTGATCAACATTGCAACCCGCATCCCAAAGCCACAGGCCTGAACTTTACACCCTCCCGCCTTTGCACTACATTACCGCCGTAACAAGGGCCCCTACACAAGGTACCCCCAATTCAACTAAACCCCAAATCTTCCAGCTCCCTTGTCAAAACCTTACATCGAAATGACAACCCCCAAATCTAGAAATTCCGAGACAAGTCCCAAATACCAAACACTAACCTTAAGCCTAAACTTCCTAACCATCCCTCAACCCTAAACTCGCCACCGTCCCTCTACCGCGCCTGAAGACAATCGCAATCACCGCCGCGCATGCAAGGAAAGCCAGGAGAATCAGAACCGCCTAGGCTTCAGCTCGAAGGAGCGGGGTTAAGAGGGCTTACTATACTGAACTTAGAGCCCTAGCAAAAATTTTAATTTTAGCTGTTTCTTAGGGATTAGAATAACCAACAATTAAAAATTACTTCTAAGTAACCCTAAGTTTAGGGTTTTAGGGTTTTAGCGTTTAGGGTGATTTTGCAAGGGCTACAAGATAGAAAGCACTGAGGATGCATGATAGTAGTATCCGGTGACCATGGTAAGATAGACCGTAGCTACCACACCTTGGCCATTCGGGCTATACCCTAAACCCTACTCCCTACAAACCCTAAACCCTAAACCGCATAAACCCTAAACCCTACAAGCTCTACTTCTGGAGTTCAGGCTATGCTTGGCTGCAGGGCCTGGACAAGGCCGGAGCGAGCGGAAAGGTAAAAGGTAACGACGGCAGGTTTGGGGGGTACAAACCAAGGATTGGGGCCAGAGCTTGGCGACCTTGCATTCTGCGTAGATTGTTCGAGCTGCTTGTTGCGAGACTGAAGCTGCGCATGCCACCTCAATTCCAAACGGCTATGCGGTACGTCGACAACGAAAGCTCGAGTCGAAGTTCATAATTTGTGGTAGGATGGCATGGGTAAGACGGGTCAAGCTTTGGGAATTGCGGCAAATTCCGGATTGAAGCCGTATTGTGGGTAACGCAGGGGTTTCCATCAACCCTATCTATATCTATATCTATATATATATATATATATGTAAAAGAAACCTAAACCTCAGATCTTGGCCCCGCACGGAGATCGGAGAGATGTTCACCTGCATGAGGAAGGCTGTCACCGCCTCGCCATTAATCTCAGGGACTGTGAAGTACCCGAAGACGTCCATCAGCCAAGTCAAGATCAAGATCAGCGTCTCCTGCAATACCCTAAACCCTAAACCCTAAACCCTAAACCCTAAACAGCAATAGTGACAATAATGGGGTTCGGAAGGATTCGCGATCATGGCCCGGTCCAGGGGATCGGAATAATTAGTGACGGTTTAGGGTTTAGGGTTTAGGGGTAAAACCTGACATCAGAAGTGTTTCCGCATTCTACAGCCCGAAATATACATCCACCAAACTCCTCCGGAGCCCTGTAAACACCAAAACGCCTTGGATATAAACCATGCCTCGTATGAGTCTGGGGGTTTAGGGCCTCAGCTTCACTAAACATATTGGGGAAAAATATGTTTTCCCCAATATGTTTAGGGCTTCAGCTTCAAGATCGTAGTCCCAAAGCGCGACTCAGCAAACGTGACAGCAAGTGGAAGCCACCTTGCAGGCGCTCACGGCGGAAGAGAGGACATCAGAAGTTGGAAGCCACTCCTGCTGCCAAGAAAAGAACTAGACCTAAGAGTAAGCTAGGAATAAAAAGGGTGCCCTTTTTGGTTTAAAGGGGCTTATAAGGGAACCTAAGCCTCAAAAAAGGGAATAAGGGCCTACTCTGGGTCCTAGAGAATATAGGGGCCTTCATGATTACAACAAGGTTGTTTATGGTTGTCTATGAGCTTTCAGCCGGCTTTACACGGTTGAAGAAAGGGCCTTACGCATTGCAGTCTACGTATGTTGGAAACTAAGGGGATGTTCTGACCAGTCACTAGCTATTCAGGCCCGAAAAGCAAAGAGACTCTGACACTTTATCCATGAACGCTGGTCATCCGAACCCAGAAGTAGCCATCAAGTATCCAAGGATCCCGAACACATGAGCTTGTGAGATGATACTCCTCCTCCTATCAGTGGGTTTAGGGTTCCTCAATCAACGGTTTTTGGGGTCTCTGGGAAAGCATGACCGAAGCTTCTTCAAGCACTGACTTCCAAAGGCCTAAGAAAGTATCAGAACCTGGAACAGAATCCCTCAAAAACCCTTACCCTAGCGCGAGATCTAAGCCCCAAGAATCCTAGTCTCCTTATAGCGTTGCAAGAGCCTTATATGGTAGTCTTAATACCGAACCCTATGGCACCGTTAACAGAACTCTTGTACAACCGTCGCAAAATGTCTCTGCAACAAACCATGAATCCTTGACCCCAACATCCTAAACCCTGAACTGTAAAGGCGTCGGCTAATCCTTCACCCGTGCCGCCCATATCAGGTTGCACAGACGTTCCACGGCCCCAGGACACACGTAGCCCTCGGCTGCGTGGTACTGCGAAGGCTTCCATAGACCCTAAAGCCTGGGAGGGTTTTGGTTTAGGGTCTAGGATTTACGCCTGGGCCCGCCGAACATCCGAGAAGCAAGGCAGAAGTAGAGTGACGCATAAGCATCTTTCTTCAGTACGGAAATCCCCACTCACAAATCACTTGCTACGTCCGCTGGCCCTACATAACTTAACCTTAACTTCTGAAACCCTAACCACTAAACCTTTGATCGTTAAACCTTCAATTCTAAATCAACCGCACAAACCAAACCGCCCGTGCCAAGACCGTAAACAAAACCCAGAGCATATCACCGCGAATGCATTGACTATATTTTAATATCTGCGCTGCAAGACGCGCCTGATTTGCCTGGGACAGCCGCAGTCTCTTTAGAACTTTTTCTCAACACTTGCAAGAGTTGTAAGTTTAGGGCTGTTCAGTGGCTTAGATTTCGGCACCTTGGGGCCTTAGACTGCGCGGTCCAGGATTTTGGGGCTTGGGGTCCTCGGGTTTAGCAGCCTTGACACTCTTCGTATGTTAGGTGCTAAGTGGATCGTTGTTCTGTGTGTGTGTCTCTGTGTCTGTGTGTCTCTGTGTGTGTGTCTGTGTGTGTGTGCGGCTTTGGTCATTGGTGGATGATTTCGCGCCGGCTACTGCAGTTCCGACTGGGACGACTGTCTCTGCTAATAGCACGAAGCCTACTATTGCTGTGAGTACCCCCCCCAAAACAACAACCTGAAAGTGTCTGCCACTTCAACTCTAGATTCAGCTACGGCCAAAATCTGGAAACTCCGAAAGTTGGCGACGTTGACATAACTGAATAGTGAAAGGTCGGTGACCACTACTTTGTTCGCGTCCCTCATTACCCAGGCACTGCCAGCCACAACAAGCACATCGCCGTTCCAGCACAGGCCATCTTACTCGGAAGCTGGCGCAGCGACATTCTCTAGATGCGAACGCAAAGGCTCACAGCTACCTTTCCTCTCTTTCGGGCTGGGCCAACGGCGGCAAAGTCTGCATGCTTTCGACCCAACGTAAGCCTGGGACCATCGTCAAAGCAGGATGCTAGGGGCAAGGACAGGATTGTAGGTTGAAGGCCTAGGGTTTAAGATTACGTGTGTGTAGGATTTGAAATTCGTCTCAGGGTTCGGGGAGAACGGTTGCATCAAGCACATGAGCATGTACTCAGTATGAAGGGGACACTTCGTGTGTAGGACTCCAGCACTGACATGCTGGATTCTAAAAAGCACCAGCACGAATGCTGCAGCAGCAGCCGCAGCAGCAGGAGAGGGAGTAGCAGAAGTAGTAGTAGTAGTAGTAGTAGTAGTAGTAGTAGTAGTAGTAGTAGTAGTAGTAGTAGTAGTAGTAGTAGTAGTAGTAGTGAGTTACAACTCGAAGCCCTGCCGTCGACTTCTTTTCTGATCTTGATAGCTTGCGGATGTCTAGAGTCAAGTTCGTCTTGCTGCCGGCATGCCATGGTCGAAAGGACTAGACCAGTGCTGAAGATGCCAATGGGAGTGAGCGGGTAAGACGCAGATGTGCCGGTTGAGATCTCAAGAGAAATCCCACGCTGCCTCCTGGCTTCAACCGGGTTCATGAATCTGCATGGGATTAGAGATTTCGGTGTTCAGGGTATACAAAATTCAACGCTCGAGCTGGCACAGGACCTGTGAAGCATAGCATCGCCTGCAACTTCGATTCACCGTGCCTCGTCGCGGCCGCAGCCTCCGCCGAAGAGGGCTTCGCATGAACGCTTCCGATGAAGCGTCGTCGATTTTGAATAGCATCTTAGTTCCGTATTATAGTCGCCTTAATAATTAGAATAAGGTTTCGGGGCCCATCATTTTATAGTCACAAATGGACACCACAAAAATAGTATTGGTAATTATTGAGGCCCCTATATTAGGGGGTTTAGGTTTGGGGTTTTAGGGTTTGGGGTTTATTCGAGCCTTAGTGACTCCTACAAGTCGATCTGGCTACATAATGTAAAGCCAACAACCTACCGTTTAGGCAACAGCAGGTCAAGGGTAAGACATGAGATTGGCTCGGGCAGACACAGATTCGACCCAGGCGTTGCTGCAATGATATAGCGGGCCTTAATAACTACCTATACCACAGTGGGGGATTCCTTACTATAACTATATTAAATACTAATATATGCCCCAAACCCTATTCTAAATATATCCTGCAGTGGTCCACACCGCCCCCTGATCAAACTGCATTGCCTCATCTTCGCCTTCTGCTAGGCGTGAAGAAACACAGGCACGAATATAGGGGCCTTAATCATTGGAACAGGGTTTTGGGGCCCATTATACTAAAAATGTAATAAGGAGCCACCAATAGTATAGGTAATGATTAAGGCCCTACAGTAACACTCCGCTCATTTTTTCGTCTCAGATACAGCATCACACCTTTCCGTTCTCGACTGCGCCCTGTCTTGCGTATGAAGTGGACACAGATATCGCATACCGAAGGGGGGTGCGTTGCTAGCTTAGGCGCGAGCCTCCAAAACTCAACTCACTTGAACTCATTGTAGACCGTTCTTCCAAACTTTGCTAGACGTACCTAGCAGGGTGCCGCACTGTCTTGTGGAGTGCGACTTCAGGCTGTCTGCCGGCACTGCGTCATATCTCCTCCTATGCTCATACCGGGTCTTCGATGACAATCCCAGGTTTAAGATGACTTCTCCGACGAAACACAGAAAACTATGACTTCCTGGCCGGCAGAAGCATGCTCACTGATAGAAGTGCTGGATCAGAGGCAGCAGCTGTGTCTCACCGTTGGTGTCGTCGGTCCCACCGTTGTCGTTGACGACCCACAGCGTGAGCTTGTCCATATAAGGATCCTCCAAGTCCCCTGTGACGGCGAGGCTGTCAAAACGTTGAAGCACTGGACCCCTCAAGTCCTGCAGTTCCGGCAAGTTGGGGCTATAAGCTATAAGGCTGAGGAGTTGGGACTTGAGGTTTGAGGTGAGGGTTTTGGTTCTCGGGACGGCGGGCTTAGGCTCGAGTCCTGCAGCTCCAGCAAGAAGTCTTCCACCAAGGTCTTCTCGATCATCGTCTCATTGCCTTCTGGTAGCTCGGCCTTGTAAATGCGTCGCACGGCTGCGTCGAAGCCGCCCTGGCCGTCCGTCTCCAGGAACAAGAAGTGGCCATCGCCAAGCGCTGCGATGTCACGCAGCGCCACCACCCCACCGTCCTGCGACTCCGGAGCATCCAGGGGATAAGTGAAGGTCTTCTCGCCGCAGACGGGTGTCGTCAAGTTGCACACCAACACCGTGCCCCCGTACGTCGTGACCACATAGCCGACATCTGGGTCATATGCCACGCCGGAAGGAGCATCGCTGGCGTTGATTAGGAAAGAGTCTTGGAAGACACCGTTGTTGTTGAGGAGCAGGAGGCTGTCCGTCGTCTGGTCGACGATCACGAAGCCCTCGTCGTTGATGTCGATTCCGGAAATGTTCAGGTCCTGCAAGAAGGTGCCGTTCCGATAGGTGATGCTGATGGCCCTGTTGATCCTTGGGGGGTGCCTGGTACTTTGGATTCTGAGGATTTGCGGCTCAGCAAAGAACGCGCCTTCCACAGCCCAGAGAGTGTCGTTACCCTCTCCTGTAAGTCCCGCAATAGATCCCCAAGGAATGGGCAGGCCATTCACGTTTCTGGACTCCAAGAATGGATATTGCGTTGACCTCAGTTCCCATGCAATGCTTTAGCAAAGACTCTATAAACCCCTGTAGAAATCCTCTAAAAACCCTGCAGCGGCCTACGAAGCAACGCGGACAGGTGACTGGCACTGGTAGATGTTCAGGCCGGATCGGATATCGAGATCGAGGTCTGAAGCTTCAGATGCGGTGATGTACCTTAACAATTGAACAAGAAGTGCTAGGAATTGTTCGGGTTTAGTGAGGTTGAGGGTTTAGGCTGTAGCATGGTTTGGCATGGCTCAGTGTGGTTTAGCATGGCTTAGTTTATCATGGCTTTAGCAAGACACTAAAAGCATGAAGGTTGTCGCAGCTGAAGGTACAGATTTCGTCGAGGGATGGCCCTCCCCTTCTCTGGGGTCCTGATTGATGGCAGCGCCTGTAGATATCTGGGGTCGCTGGCATTCGACACCTCGAAGACATAGGTCAGGCTCGCCCTCTCGGACTGGACGAAGAGCATCTCACAGTTCTGGAACTGCCCATATGCAACATTCTCTGGCTCGACGCCCCTGTTCTCTGAGCGTTCGTCGGGGTAGTGTCCGAGCCTTACCGCAATGAGTTCAAGCAGGTTTCCTGCAGGGATGTCGGAAGGATTCTAGGCAAACCCATACTGAAACCAACATGTTACACCACGTGCCTCGCATACAACAAGTTGCAATGCTGTACTAAACCTCGGTCGGACTCCTTTATCCGTTCTTGCCTCACTACTGATCGCTTACGCCTGATAGTACTCGAAGCGTTCACACTTGATTCAATGGCTACATGCAGGAACAGGCTTACCCTTGGTGGCTTGAAACATCTTCCATACGTCAGTGGCAGTGCAGTAGCAGCAGCAGTAGTACTAGCAGGAGCAGGAACTTGAGCTTGAGCGGGAGCAGGATCCGTAGCAGCAGAAGCATTAGCAGTAGCAGCAGCCGTCGTCGTCGTTGTCGCCTGAAAAATCGTACCTGTCATCGCACTACTGCAACATACAGCCTAGCATGGTTTTATCTGCTGCTTGTGGTTTCTCAAGCTAGGGCGCACCTGAGGAAACTCCCTACTCCTGCCTGTCAAATTGCGGCCGTGTGCTGATCTTTCGACCATTCAGGCATCAAACGTGTTTGCGCCGATCCCTAAAACCTAAACCCTTTGCCCCTAAACAAAAAACCCTATGCCCCTGAACCCTAAACCCTTCGCCCCTAAACCTAAACCCTCGTGTCCTGAGCTGTAGGCAACCTCGCCGTTCTCGTTGAAGACCGTAAAGGAGCGGCTTCCTCCTACGAAGTCGCCCTCGTCCGCGGTGGCGAAGAACTCCGACTTCCCCAACCAGACCACTCCGTCCGGCTCCCTGCTGACATTCTCCAGGGTGGAGTTCAAGATGATTCGCCGGTCCTTGAGGTTTAGAGTACGGTACAAATCAGATTTCCGGAGCATTAGGGTTTAGGGTTTAGGGTTCAGGGTTTAGGATTTAGGGTTCAGGGTTTAGGATTTGGGGTCGTGCCCTCCAGGCAAATTCGCCGGTCCTCGAAGATATCGATGTCCGAAATGTTCATGGTGCCGGCTGAGAAGCTGGAGATCACTGAGGCGTTCGTCAGGTTCACCAAGACGATGGCGTTGTTCTCCTGGGTTCTTGTCAAGGAAGTTACTTGAAGCTACCATAACCATAATAGAGAATTTTGTATGCTATAAATCCATACTAATGTGAACTTAAATCCTAAACCCTTGAAGGTACTCTTGTAGAATTCCCTTAAAGAAGCCCTTACAGATCCCCAGTCTCCTGCAGCGTGACCACCGCCACGTTGTCCTTGCGGATGCTCACCTGCTCGGGCTCGGGGTCTTCTGGGAAGAGAACGCCTGTGAGATTGGAGAGGCTGATGTTGTCCTTAGTTGTCGCTTCATAACTTTAATGGTTCCCTTTACGTAAGAGGTCCCCCCCAAAAAGTATGAAAGTATGGTACTCCAAAGCCCAGCAACAGTGGTCCAGGCCATAGGATCCGGGTCGGAGATGTTCACCTTACTACCCCAAGAAGCCACAGAAATCAAAGGTTAAACTTTCCGATTCCTACTAAACTATAAGAACCCAAAAAGTTTAAAGGTTAGGTATTGGGGATCTAAGCATAGCTCCCTTACAGGAGCCCTTCTAGATCCCTTTAAAGGAACCCTATAAGCCTCTGTTGGGGATCTAAGTCACCCGCACCAGGAAGCCGGGCGGGGCCTCAGGAAAGGTGCCATCGGCCTCGTTTTCGATGGTGACGGCGGCCCAGTACTCATCCGGGCTGATGTCCACGGAGTCGGGTTGACCTCCAAGCTTCCGAAATGGGGGACTGGAATATAGTAATTAGCCTAAGTAGTAGGATCCTTAGAATAAGGACCCCAAAATACCCTAATAAAGTAGCCTAAATACTAGGATCCTTATAGTAAGGACCCCAAAATACCAAATTTTCGGAAACTTCCGGACCTCCAAGCTCGATGGTGCGCAGGAGGGTCATGGTAGTGACGTTCAGGATCAAGAGCTGCCCGGGACTTTGGCTCGAAAGACGTGGTCTGACGGCAATGAGTGCGAGGAAGCCCGTTATGGCCACGTCCGTGGGCTTCATCTGAATTCCTAAGGTACCCAGGGGGGTGGGTACCGCTGCATCGGTAATGTCCACGAAACCTATCGTGAAAGAGCCAGAGAATCTCGTGCTTGTGTAGACAGCGGTCTTCAGGTCCTCTGTCACATCCACGGCGTCAATACTATACCTTCGGTTCGTGTCGTTGCATGTCGCATCAACCTGCTGACAGCCCTGAAAGAATCCGATGCGGTTGAAGGTGCAGCAACCCTTCCCGCAGCCCGGGCTGGGAGGAGATGGTGGGGGCGGTGGAGGCGGAGCAGGCGTGGTGGTCTTGTAGTAGTAGTGCTTCTTCTTCTTGCTCCACTCATAGATGGCACGCTTGAATTTGCGAATGAGCCTTCGGGGTCTTGCGTCTTCACTGCGACGGAGCACCTGAACAGCTGCTAGCTCATCGGTCTCACAGCTCTCTGCTGCATAGGCGCAGGAGCCGTTGAGAACCTGGAGCACCACAAGGAACGTCAAGCAGCGCATCCTCCAGGCTGCGAGGGGGGACAATACAAGCTGCTTTTGAGCCCAAATCTTCAGGCAGCATCGGGAACACGTCATATGCAGGCCTTGCTGTGCCTATACCCAAGCCGAGCGGCAGACTGCACAATTTGTTTGGGCCGAGGTGCGATATTCAAAACTGCTCCAGGTTGAGAGGACTGCAGTTGTGGCGCACTCACCTGTCGAAAAAAAGATGCATGGTTGACTTAGGGGAATGCTGAACCATAAAAATAACCCTAAACCCTAAACCCTAAACCCTATTCAAGAATACCCGAAGGCCCTAAATCCTAAACCTGACGGCATGCATAGCAGCATACCTCTAGCCTGCGCGCAAACTCCCAACATAGAGAAGGTAATTGTTAAGGCCCCTATATTAAATACCTATATGCAGCATACCTACACGAACCATACAGACGCCCCGTACTTTGCACCATGTACGTGTGGAGGGCCTGTTGGCGGTCGACAGGGAAACAATCATACAATGTAAAATACCAACGTAGCGATATTTTTTCATAACAAGCAAAGCAAGGCCTCATAGTCAGGTGAGCACGCTCAAACTTGCTCATTTCTGATCCATAAACCCTAAACCCTAAACCCTAAACCCTAAATCCTAAACCCTAAACCCTAAACCCTAAACCCTAAACCCCAAACCCTAAACCCTAAACTCTAAACTCAAGAACCCTCATCTCTGAGCCCCAGATCCCACACTGAGCCCCAGATCCCATACTTCCAACTTTCTGTCTCGGCCTCTACTTTACTGAACTTAGAACCCTAGCAACAATTATAACTTTAGCTGTTTCTTAGGGATTAGAATAACCAAAAATTAAAAATTCTTTCCAAGTAACCCTAAGTCTTGGTCTTACAGACTGTAGAATGCTTTGCACTTCCACTGCTTGCCTACACTTCTATGCTTCTCTTTGCCCTGCTTGCTTTCGGGATAATCGCCGTCTAGTCTCTTCAATGCGTAAGAATGCTTTCAAAGCCTCGGCATTGAGCACCAGGATGGTCTGACGATCATGACCGAACTCAGTAATGGATGGTGAAAGAAAGAATCGCAGCTTCCTAAAGTCGAACTCAGACGTCATCTCCCGGACGTTTCTTTGAGGCAACTCTCAAGGGAATCATGAACCGAAGGAGTCCGGAAGGTCTCACCACGATGAGTTTCACTTGTCCAATGTAGGGTTTAGGGGTGTAGGGGTTTAGGGTTTAGGGTCCGTCCCTGCTCTGTGGAAACATCTTCTTCACAGAGCAGAAAAACTGCTTGGCTGCCCACAGTTCACTGGCCAATCCAAAATGCCGCCGTGGGGACCCTAACATAGTACCCTAAACAGTAGGATCCTGATGATTATAAGGACACCAAAATGAGGTACCCCTACTTTTCGGAACCCCCATATAATGGCCAGGGAAACCGTAAACCCTAAACCCCTATACTACACTGAACTTAGAACCCTAGCAAAAATTATAATTTTAGCTGTTTCTTAAGGATTATAATAACCAAAGATTAAAAATTATTTCTAAGTACCCCTAAGTATAGTATATACTCCATGGCCAGGGCGTCCCAAAAGCTGCAGGGCAACAAGGAACATGACGGGGAGAGAGCTCACTTTGTAGGTTTTTTTTTAGGGGTTTAGGGTTTAGGGTTTAGGGCTTCGCTAGGCGCTGGTTCGAAGTCAGCTAGCGGCTAAGAAAAGATAGCGAGATGATGAAAAGGAACGCCTGCAGCTCCGAGGGGAAAACTTCGAAATCCAGTCTCCCTCGGGCCTCACAGTAACAGTCTATAATAGGGCTACCATTAAGGGCCTAATATATCTATATTATGAATATTATCCAACTGTTACTGAAAGGGGCCTCTGGCCTCGCCGTCACAGCAGCTGCAGGGAGTCGACGTGGCCCTGGGGCGATGCTGAACGACCTCAGGAGAAAGCCAGCATGGAACCTCTAAGTAGGGCCACGATCTTTCAGGCATGGGAATATCAGAACATCAGATTTAGGTGGTTGTCAAAATCATGGTCCCTTTCTGGGTCCCTAATATGCTACGGCACCTAATATTTAGAGTGCCCAACAAGGGATCATAATTTTGACAACCACCCAACTAGAAGCAAAGGTCAGTCAAGGGTGCCTTGATGAAATAGGTCGAAGATGTCCATCAAGCCCTTCACGACCTTCCAACACCCTCGCAGGCACGTCTATCATGCACAATGGGCTCAGTAACCCTTCGATCATACAGTCTGCTGTACCGCCTTGGGCAATATGTGGCACCATACTCGCCCAAAGAAAATTGCCTCCCCCCAATCCGTGATCCCTAGCCTCGTAAACATGAACGAGGTAGTAATAGTAATAGCAATAGCAATAGCAATAGCAATAGCAATAGTAGCAGCATAGTATAGTATAGTATAGTAGTAAGATACAAGTTCGGCGCCATCGACCTCCCAAACTCGAAGGCCCACCTGAATCGAAAGCTTGAACCGAGGTGTCTAGCGAATGCACATCGAGATAGACAGAGACACGGACGGACGGACAGATAGACGGAAAGGAAAGTTAAGAACCCTACACCCTAAACTTCCCCAAACCCTAAACTTCCCCAAACCCTAAACCCTAAACAGAACAGCAAGAGAGTTGACACCAAGACGAGAAAGCCTCCTCCGGCCCAGCGCCCTTAAAGGATCCCTAAAGGGAAGCCTATTCTAATCATTGAGGCCCCTATAGTACTGCCCAGGAGGTCTATAGGGATCTATAAGGGTTACTATAAGGGTTTATAGAAGAGGGGCCTCAACAATCAGAATGGGGTGTTGGGGCCCGTTATACTATAACTATAGTAATGAACCCTGCAAAATAGTCAAAGGTAATTATTCCAGCCCCTCTACTTTATCCGAGTCTGGGGTTTCGAGGGTTCAGGGCTTCAGGGGTCTGGGGTTTTAGGGTTCGTAAGCTCAAGAGTTTAGGGCTTGGGGTTTCGTGGTTTCGGGTTTCAGCGTTCGGGATATCAGGGTTTAGGGGATTCACGGGCCCAGGGTTTGGAGGGTTTAGGGTGGTTGGTTGCAAGCCACTATTTGAGTGCGAAACCCTAACCCCGAAATCCTAAACCGTAAACCTCCTAAACCCTAAAACCCTAAACCCCTACATAAACCCTAAACCCTAAACCCCTAAACTTTCCTAAACCCTAAAACCCTAAACCCCTACGTAAACCCTAAACCCTAAACCCCTAAACCCTAAAACCCTAAACCCCTACATAAACCCTAAACCCCAAAACCCTAAACCCCTATATAAACCCTAAGCATTAAACCCCTAAACCCTAAATCGTACTTCAGAGACAGAGCGACACTTAAGCCCCCCAAAGCAGCCTCGCTGTCAGGCCTTGAAGCAACTGAAACCCTAAACCTTTAGGGTTTAGGGTACCTTGGGTACTGACTGACCCCATCCTGTAGCAGTTTACATTCGGGGTAGGGCCATAAAAAAACATATATATATATATATATATATATATATATATATATGTATGTATATCAGTATACTGTGAAATATGATCCAGCTGTACAGAGAGGGGGCAGTATCCAGCCTAAACCCTTTAGGGACGAGGCGCTGTTCCAATGTCGGCTCCATGACCCCGTCTTATCACATCATGCATTGTAGCATCATGGAAATAGGCTTCCTTTATTTTAAGGCTTCTGTAAACAAATAGTTACTACAAAGGATCCTATAGTTCTTGAATGTAGGAGCCTTAACCACACCTATTTCGGCCCTTATACATTGCAGAACAGCATTCACGGAATAGTCTTACAGAGGTGCAATGAACCGCCCACACCTCGATAGCAGGGTCGAACACTGTCGGACGAGAGAAAGTGCAACTGCTGACGTGACATGTTGTCACAACGGATAGCATCTAAACATTAAACCCCTAAACCCTAAACACCAGAACCCCAAAACCCCCAAACCCCAAAACCTGAACCCATAAATCCCTATATAGGCCAGGGTGCTGGTCACTCAGTCGATCATCGCCGCAGGCTGCGTCGAAAACCTGAGTTTGGGATTTGAGGTGTGGGGGTTTGGGGGTTTGGGGTCCGGGGTCTCGGGGTTTAGGGTTTGGGGGTTTAGAGTTTAGAGGTTTGGGGTTGTCAGGCCATGTTTCGACTCTGGCAACCCGCCAAGCAAGATCCATACTCCGCCAGCTTTCGACTTTCGACACTTCCAAAACCATATCAAACAGCTTGGCCGACATCGCCTCATCAACCTGCACGGCCTCATCTTGCCCGGCTAGATCAGAACTCAGAACCACTCCGCATACCTTTCTCGTCTCAAGCACAGCATCGACCGTTTGGCTCTCGACTGCGTCCTGTCTTGCGTATGAAGCAGACGCAGATATGGGAGTTTCCGAAAATAGGGGACCCTAAAATTGCACCGTAAATAGTAGGATACAGTAGGATCCTTATTATAAGGACCCCACAATAAGGTACCCCTAATTTTCTGAAACTCCCATATGGCGAACTAGAGACGGGGGGATGTTCACGCTGTGCTACCGCACGGACGAACCGCCAAAACTCAACGCTCAGCGTGTTTATTGTGAGCGCTGCGTGGAACATAAGTAGACATACCTATAGCTCGGTGGTCGCACTTGCTTCTGGAGTGCGACGCTAGGCTGTCTGCCGGCACTGTATCATCTTCTTCGGAATCAGACCCATACCGGGTACACAACAGTAGCGTACCATGGTCTCTGGAAAATTTGAACACAGAGGACCACCCCCTGTGGTAAGCTCTATCTTCAGGGATCTTGGCTACACTGAACTTAGAACCCTAGCAAAAATTAAAATTCTAGCTGTTTCTTAAGGATTATAATAACCAAAGATTAAAAATCATTTCTAAGTACCCCTAAGTTGGTGTTGCACTATTGCAAACGACAGGCCGGCAGAAGCGCACTCACTGATAGAAGTGTTGGATCAGAGGCAGCAGCTGTGTCTCACCGTTGGTGTCGTCGGTGCCACCGTTGTCGTTGACGACCCACAGCGTGAGCTTGTCCATGTAAGGATCCTATACTGAACTTAGAACCCTAGCGAAAATAGTAATTTTAGCTGTTTCTTCGGGATTATAATAACCAAAAATTACTATAATTTCTCAGAACCCCTAAGCCCTATAAACCCTAATGACCAGAAATTAAAATTTTTCTAAGTACCCCTAAGGATCCTCCAGGTCCCCGGTGACGGCCAGGCTGTCGAACCGTTGCAGCACTGGCCCCCTCAAGTCCTGAAAAAACCGCTGAGGCTGGGGGTTTAGGGTTTGAGGTTTCAGGCCCGTGCTGTGAGAGTGTTGGGTCTTGTTGGGACGATGGCTTTAGGCTCGAGTCCTGCAGCTCCAGCAAGAAGTCTTCCACCAAGGTCTTCTCGATGACCGTCTCATTGCCTTCTGGTAGCTCGGCCTTGTAAATGCGTCGCACGGCTGCGTCGAAGCCGCCCTGGCCGTCCGTCTCCAGGAACAAGAAGTGGCCATCGCCAAGCGCTGCGATGTCACGCAGCGCCACCACCCCACCGTCCTGCGACTCCGGAGCATCCAGGGGATAAGTGAAGGTCTTCTCGCCGCAGACGGGTGTCGTCAAGTTGCACACCAACACCGTGCCCCCGTACGTCGTGACCACGTAGCCGACATCTGGGTCATATGCCACGCCGGATGGAGCATCGCTGGCGTTGATTAGGAAAGAGTCTTGGAAGACACCGTTGTTGTTGAGGAGCAGGAGGCTGTCCGTCGTCTGGTCGACGATCACAAAGCCCTCGTCGTTGATGTCGATTCCGGAAATGTTCAGGTCCTGCAAGAAGGTGCCGTTCGGATAGGTGATGCTGATGGCTCTGTTGATCCTTGGGGGGTGCCTGGTACTTTGGATTCTGAGGATCTGCGGCTCAGCAAAGAACGCGCCCTCCACAGCCCAGAGAGTGTCGTTACCCTCTCCTGTAAGTCCTGCAATAGATCCCCAAGGAATGGGCAGGCCATTGACGTTTCTGGACTCCAAGAATGGATATTGAGTTGACCTTAGTTCCCATGCAATACTCTAGAAGAGACTCTGTAGAAATCCTCTAAAGACCCTGCAGAAGCCCTACCAAAGTAACATGGCCTAGTGACTGGCACTGGTAGATGTTCAGGCCGGATCGGATATCCAGGTCGAGGTTCGAAGCTTCAGAGGCTGTGATGTAGAGATTCCTTCGTGGGATTGTCCTGCCTTTCTCCGGGGTCCTGATTGAGGGCAGCGCCTGGAGGTACCTAGATCATTGTTGGGATCGGATTAAAAATGTACATTTTTATTCCTTATTGGGCTTAAGTACCCATAAAAATGTAAAATGTTACCCAACTATGACAAAGTAACCTGGGGTCACTGGCATTCGAGACCTCGAAGACATAGGTCAGGCTCGCCCTCTCGGATTGGATGAAGAGCATCTCACAGTTCTGGAACTGCCCATATGCAATGTTCTCTGGCTCGTTGCCTCTGTTCTCTGAGCGCTCGTCCGGATAGTGTCCGAGCCTTACCGCAATGAGCTCAAGCAAGTTTCCTGCAGCTTCGTCAGGGTTTTGTGTCCGAACATCTTTCCGGCCTCTACTGCACCAGCCCGTGTTTACACAACTTGTTTCTCTGCTCTGTAACAAAGACGTCCACGCAGAAAGCCCGACAGTCCAGATCCTGAACCCACAGCCTCGAGACTCCAACCCTGGAGCCAAAACTCGACCCCTCCAGACCCGGAGCCATTCCCAGGAACCCCCAACGGTTGATGATATAAATCCTGCATGACCCATAATAAAGTGTACACCATAATTCCCATAGTTTAGGGTCCTTAAGGTAATGCAGGATTCATATCATCAACCGAAGTACCCTTTAATAGAAGCTATTTGGGGTGTACTACTTGGAGGCCCTTTTGACTTAGTAAGTAGGGTAAGTAAAGTGGGTTGTGGGGTTTGTAATAGGGTTTCTAGGGGATACTAAGTAGACTTACTAAGTCAAAAGGGCCTCCAAGTACTCCCTTAGTAAAGAACCATAGCAGGGATCCTGGGCCTTCTGATTTAGAACTACCCAGAGACTCCTATATCCCTTAATTAAGGAATATTCCTTAAATCATATTAGGGATCCTACTAAGTCAAAAGGGCCTCCAAGTAGAGGGTAGTTGGGGGTCTAGGGAGCATCAAGGCTAGCCTCGTGGCTACAGATTTTTATGGGGCGGTCTTGGGTTTAAGGTTTAATTAGGGTTTAGGGTTTAGGGTTTAGGGTTGAGGGTTTAGGGTCTAGGGTCTAGGGTTTAGGGTTTAGGGTTTAGGGTTGAGGGTCTAGGGTTTAGGGTTTAGGGTTTAAGGTTTAATTGGGGTTTAGGGTTTAGGGTTGAGGGTTTAGGGTCTAGGGTTTAAGGTTTAATTGGGGTTTAGGGTGGGTTTAGCTGTAGGTTACAAGGTGGGGCTTTTGACCCTTTTGAAAAATATTAGTAAATAAGATCCTCTTCAGCCCAATAAGGGAAAATATAAAATGTCCCAAAGCCCCACCTAGGTTAACAAGACACCAATGCAAAGGTGAAGGTACTGGATGTTAACACACCTGGTAGAGCCTCAAGTCCTAAAAGCCCCGAACTCTTTAAACTTTAACCGTGCAAGCCCTTGAGCTCGTGCGTCCAAGTGTGTTCAACTACCGGGCGGAGATCTCGGAGGTACGGAGGGAAGTTACACATTCTACTGTCACCGAAATGAAGCAATAAACCGGCACCTCGTGTCCTGAGGTGAAGGCAACCTCGCCGTCCTCGTTGAAGACCGTAAAGGAGCGACCGCCTCCTGCTTCAGTGACTCCCTCGTCCGCGGTGGCGAAGAACTCCGACTTCTTCCCCAACCAGACCACTCCGTCCGGCTCCCTGCTGACATTCTCCAGGGTGGAGTTCAAGATGATTCGCCGGTCCTCGAAGATGTCAATGTCGGTAACGTTCGTGGTGCCAGCCGAGAAGCTGGAGATCACCGAGGCGTTCGTCAGGTTCACCAAGACGAGGGCGTTGTTCTCCTTGGCTGACTTCTGAACCCCTCCTAAAAGTTAAACTTGAAGCCTCCTTATTATGGTTCCTTTAGAAACCCCCAAAAAATTACAGCCCTAAGAGCCACCCTAAACCCTAAACCCCTAAACCCTACACGGCCAAGTCTCCTGCAGCGTGACCACGGCCACGTTGTCCTTGCCTTAGTTGCTGCGTTCATAAGCCCCCCAAAAGTGTACACTTTTGGTGTTATAGTGGGTAATATTATCCCCCAAAGTGTACACTTTTGGTTTTATAGTGCGTAATGTTATCCCAAAAAGTGTAAAGTGTATGCACTCAGCTACTAAGCTTACTACCCCAACAAGCCACAGAAATAAAAATGTTAAACTTTCCGATTCCTACTGAACTATAAGAACCCAAAAAGTTTAAAGGTTAGGTATTGGGGATCTAAGCTAAGTTGCGGATGTTCACCCACGTAGGCCGTGGCGTTTCGGGGTCCAAAAGCCCTGGAAGGTCCGTGAGGTTGATGATGTCCGTGGTCCAGGCCATGGGATCCTGAGTAGGGGTTCCGAAAATTCGGGGGGTCCCTTTAAAGGGATCCTTAAAGGGATCTATAGGGGTTCTGTAAAGGGTTTAGGGTTTAGAGTTTCCGAAAATTAGGGGTACCTTATTTTGGGGTCCTTATAATAAGGATCATACTGTTTAGGGTACTATATCAGGGTCCCGGTTTTCGGAAACTCCCTTGCCAGAGAGCCCAATACCCCCTAAATTAAGGAATATGGCTTAAACTGTATAGGGCTTCATATTATGATTTAAGCTATATTCCTTAATTAAGGGGTATTGGTCTCTCTGAGTTCTTGTCAAAGACTTTAACTCAAGTTACCATGATACGGGACCATATTTCTTTACTGCAGATCCTTCTTATGGTAACTGAAGCCTTAAGCCCTAAACCCTTAAAGCAACCCTTATAGATCCCTTACAGGAACCCTCTTAAGCTCAACTCCTTAATAAGAAACCCAGGATCCGGGTCGGAGATGTTCACTCGCTGCAGGACGCCAGGTGGAGGCGCATTGATGGTAACGGCGGCCCAGGTCTCATCCGGGCTGATGGCCACAGCATTGGGCCGACCTGGGAGTTTCCGAACATAGGGGACCCCAAAAACAAGTACCCTAAATAGTAGGATCATGATTACGAGGACCCTAAATTCAGGCATACCCCTATTTTTCGTGAAACTTCCGGACCTGCAAGATCGATGGTGCGCACGACAGTTTGGGTAGTGACGTTCAGAACTTTCAGCTCGCCGGTGGAACTTCCATTGTCGAAAGCCACCAGCGCGAGGAAGCCTGTCACTGCCACATCGGTGGGGTCCGTGTCAAATCCGAGTGTACCCAGGGGTGTCGGCACGGCCGCATCGGTGATGTCCACGAAACCTACTGTGTAGATGCCGTCGTTCGCCCTCGAGCTGGTGTAGACCGCTGTCTTCAGGTCCTCCGTCACCTTACCGTTGGTTAGTAGGGAATGGAGGAATGGGATAGAATTATAACTACTATTACTACCATTCTTCCATTCCCTACTAACCAACGGTAAGTCACATCCACTGAATCAACTTCGAACCTCTCTGTCGTGTTGTCGCAGGTCGCATTGAGCTGCTGACAAGCTTGAAAGAATCCGATGCGGTTGAAGGTGCAGCAACCCTTCCCGCAGCCCGGGCTGGGAGGAGACGGTGGGGGCGGTGGAGGCGGAGCAGGCGTGGTGGTCTTGTAGTAGTAGTGCTTCTTCTTCTTCTTGCTCCACTCATAGATGGCACGCTTGAATTTGCGAATGAGCCTTCGGGGTCTTGCGTCTTCGCTGCGACGGAGCACCTGAACAGCTGCTAGCTCATCGGTCTCACAGCTCTCTGCTGCATAGGCGCAGGGGCCGTTGAGAACCTGGAGCACCACAAGGAACGTCAAGCAGCGCATCCTCCAGGCTGCGAGGGCGGACAATACAAGCTGCTTTTGAGCCCAAATTCTTCAGGCGGCATCGGGAACACGTCATATGCAGGCCTTGCTGTGCCTATACCCAAGCCGAGCGGCAGACTGCACAATTTGTTTGGGCCGAGGTGCGATATTCAAAACTGCTCCAGGTTGAGAGGACTGCAGTTGTGGCGCACTCACCTGTCGAAAAAAAGATACATGGTTGACTAAGGGGAATGCTGAACCATAATAATAACCCTAAACCCTAAACCCTAAACCCTATTCAAGAATACCCGAAGGCCCTAAATCCTAAACCTGACAGCATGCATAGCAGCATACCTCTAGCCTGCGCGCAAACTCCCAACATAGAGAAGGTAATTGTTAAGGCCCCTATATTAAATACCTATATGCAGCATACCTACACGAACCATACAGACGCCCCGTACTTTGCACCATGTACGTGTGGAGGGCCTGTTGGCGGTCGACAGGGAAACAATCATACAATGTAAAATACCAACGTAGCGATGTTTTTCATAACAAGCAAAGCAAGGCCTCATAGTCAGGTGAGCACGCTCAAACTTGCTCATTTCTGATCCATAAACCCTAAACCCTAAACCCTAAACCCTAAATCCTAAACCCTAAACCCTAAACCCTAAACTCTAAACCCTAAACCCCAAACCCTAAACCCTAAACCCTAAACTCAAGAACCCTCATCTCTGAGCCCCAGATCCCACACTGAGTTCCAGATCCCATACTTCCAACTTTCAGTCTCGGCCTCTACTTTACTGAACTTAGAACCCTAGCAACAATTATAACTTTAGCTGTTTCTTAGGGAATAGAATAACCAAAAATTAAAAATTCTTTCCAAGTAACCCTAAGTCTTGGTCTTACAGACTGTAGAATGCTTTGCACTTCCACTGCTTGCCTACACTTCTATGCTTCTCTTTGCCCTGCTTGCTTTCGGGATAATCGCCGTCTAGTCTCTTCAATGCGTAAGAATGCTTTCAAAGCCTCGGCATTGAGCACCAGGATGGTCTGACGATCATGACCGAACTCAGTAATGGATGGTGAAAGAAAGAATCGCAGCTTCCTAAAGTCGAACTCAGCCGTCATCTCCCGGACGTTTCTTTGAGGCAACTCTCAAGGGAATCATGAACCGAAGGAGTCCGGAAGGTCTCACCACGATGAGTTTCACTTGTCCAATTTAGGGTTTAGGGGTTTAGGGTTTAGGGGTGTAGGGGTTTAGGGTTTAGGGTCCGTCGCTGCTCTGTGGAAACATCTTCTTCACAGAGCAGAAAAACTGCTTGGCTGCCCACAGTTCACTGGCCAATCCAAAATGCCGCCGTGGGGACCCTAACATAGTACCCTAAACAGTAGGATCCTGATGATTATAAGGACACCAAAATGAGGTACCCCTACTTTTCGGAACCCCCATATAATGGCCAGGGAAACCGTAAACCCTAAACCCTAAACCCCTATACTACACTGAACTTAGAACCCTAGCAAAAATTATAATTTTAGCTGTTTCTTAAGGATTATAATAGCCAAAGATTAAAAATTATTTCTAAGTACCCCTAAGTATAGTATATACTCCATGGCCAGGGCGTCCCAAAAGCTGCAGGGCAACAAGGAACATGACGGGGAGAGAGCTCACTTTCTAGGGTTTTTTTTTTAGGGGTTTAGGGTTTAGGGTTTAGGGCTTCGCAAGGCGCTGGTTCGAAGTCAGCTAGCGGCTAAGAAAAGATAGCGAGATGATGTAAAGGAACGCCTGCAGCTCCCAGGGGAAAACTCCGAAATCCAGTCTCCCTCGGGCCTCACAGTAACAGTCTATAATAGGGCTACCATTAAGGGCCTAATATATCTATATTATGAATATTATCCAACTGTTACTGAAAGGGGCCTCTGGCCTCGCCGTCACAGCAGCTGCAGGGAGTCGACGTGGCCCTGGGGCGATGCTGAACGACCTCAGGAGAAAGCCAGCATGGAACCTCTAAGTAGGGCCACGATCTTTCAGGCATGGGAATATCAGAACATCAGATTTAGGTGGTTGTCAAAATCATGGTCCCTTTCTGGGTCCCTAATATGCTACGGCACCTAATATTTAGAGTGCCCAACAAGGGATCATAATTTTGACAACCACCCAACTAGAAGCAAAGGTCAGTCAAGGGTGCCTTGATGAAATAGGTCGAAGATGTCCATCAAGCCCTTCACGACCTTCCAACACCCTCGCAGGCACGTCTATCATGCACAATGGGCTCAGTAACCCTTCGATCATACAGTCGGCTGTACCGCCTTGGGCAATATGTGGCACCATACTCGCCCAAAGAAAATTGCCTCCCCCCAATCCGTGATCCCTAGCCTCGTAAACATGAACGAGGTAGTAATAGTAATAGTAATCGTAATAGTAAAAGTAATAGCAATAGCAATAGTAATAGTAATAGCAATAGTAAAAGTAATAGCAATAGTAATAGTACTAGTACTAGTAATAGCAATAGCAATAACAATAGCAATAGCAATAGTAATAGTAATAGCAATAGTAATAGCAATAGCAATAGCAATGGTAATAGTAATAGTAATAGCAATAGTAATAGTAAAAGCAATAGCAATGGTAATAATAATAGCAATAGCAGTAGTAATAGTACTAGCAATAGCACTAGTAGTAGTAATAGCAATAGCAATAGCAATAGCAATAGCAATAGCAATAGCAATAGCACTAGCACTAGCACTAGCACTAGCACTAGCACTAGCACTAGCACTAGCACTAGCAATAGCAATAGCAATAGCAATAGCAATAGCAATAGCAATAATAGTACTAGCAATAGCAATAGTACTAGTAATAGCAATAGCAGTAGCAATAGTAATAGTACTAGCAATAGCAATAGTACTAGTAATAGCAATAGCAGTAGCAATAGTAATAGTACTAGCAATAGCAATAGTACTAGTAATAGCAATAGCAGTAGCAATAGTAATAGTACTAGCAATAGCAATAGTACTAGTAATAGCAATAGCAATAGCAATAGTACTAGCAATAGCAATAGCAATAGTACTAGTAATAGCAATAGCAGTAGCAATAGTAATAGCACTAGCAATAGCAATAGTACTAGTAATAGCAATAGCAGTAGCAATAGTAATAGTACTAGCAATAGCATAGTAATAGTATAGTATAGTAATAAGAGACAAGGTCGGTGCCATCGACCTCTCAGACTCGAAGGCGCACCTGCCTCGAAAGCTTGACTAGGTTCCTTAATGATAAGGGTACCCTTTTTCATACTATTCGGTTTTGATAAGGGGACTCCTAAAGCAAAAAGGGCAAAAGGGTAAAACTCAGTAACCTAGTTGAACCGAGGTGTCTAGCGAATGCACATCGGGATAGACAGAGACACGGACGGACGGAGAGGCAGACGGAAAGGAAAGTTAAGAACCCTGCACCCTAAACTTCCCCAAACCCTAAACTTCCCCAAACCCTAAACCCTAAACAGAACAGCAAGAGAGCTGACACCGAGACGAGAAAGCCTCCTCCGGCCCAGCGCCCTTAAAGGATCCCTGAAGGGAAGCCTATTCTAATCATTGAGGCCCCTATAGTACTGCCCAGGAGGTCTATAGGGATCTATAAGGGTTACTATAAGGGTTTATAGAAGAGGGGCCTCAACAATCAGAATGGGGTGTTGGGGCCCGTTATACTATAACTATAGTAATGAACCCTGCAAAATAGTCAAAGGTAATTATTCCAGCCCCTCTACTTTATCCGAGTCTGGGGTTTCGAGGGTTCAGGGCTTCAGGGGTCTGGGGTTTTAGGGTTCGTAAGCTCAAGAGTTTAGGGCTTGGGGTTTCGTGGTTTCGGGTTTCAGCGTTCGGGATATCAGGGTTTAGGGGTTTCACGGGCCCAGGGTTTGGAGGGTTTAGGGTGGTTGGTTGCAAGCCACTATTTGAGTGCGAAACCCTAACCCCGAAATCCTAAACCGTAAACCTCCTAAACCCTAAAACCCTAAACCCCTACATAAACCCTAAACCCTAAACCCCTAAACTTTCCTAAACCCTAAAACCCTAAACCCCTACGTAAACCCTAAACCCCTAAACCCTAAACCCCTACATAAACTCTAAACCCCAAAACCCTAAACCCCTATATAAACCCTAAACATTAAACCCCTAAACCCTAAATCGTACTTCAGAGACAGAGCGACACTTAAGCCCCCCAAAGCAGCCTCGCTGTCAGGCCTTGAAGCAACTGAAACCCTAAACCTTTAGGGTTTAGGGTTTAGGGTACCTTGGGTACTGACTGACCCATCCTGTAGCAGTTTACATTCGGGGTAGGGCCATAAAAAACATATATATATATATATATATATTTGTATATATCAGTATACTGTGAAATATGATCCAGCTGTACAGAGAGGGGGCAGTATCCAGCCTAAACCCTTTAGGGACGAGGCGCTGTTCCAATGTCGGCTCCATGACCCCGTCTTATCACATCATGCATTGTAGCAGGTGCCCCTATAAACGGAGCATCATGGAAATAGGCTTCCTTTATTTTAAGGCTTCTGTAAACAAATAGTTACTACAAAGGATCCTATAGTTCTTGAATGTAGGAGCCTTAACCACACCTATTTCGGCCCTTGTACATTGCAGAACAGCATTCACGGAATAGTCTTACAGAGGTGCAATGAACCGCCCACACCTCGATAGCAGGGTCGAACACTGTCGGACGAGAGAAAGTGCAACTGCTGACGTGACATGTTGTCACAACGGATAGCATCTAAACATTAAACCCCTAAACCCTAAACACCAGAACCCCAAAACCCCCAAACCCCAAAACCTGAACCCATAAATCCCTATATAGGCCAGGGTGCTGGTCACGCAGTCGATCATCGCCGCAGGCTGCGTCGAAAACCTCAGTTTGGGATTTGAGGTGTGGGGGTTGGGGGTTTGGGGTCCGGGGTCTCGGGGTTTAGGGTTTGGGGGTTTAGAGTTTAGAGGTTTGGGGTTGTCAGGCCATGTTTCGACTCTGGCAACCCGCCAAGCAAGATCCATACTCCGCCAGCTTTCGACTTTCGACACTTCCAAAACCATATCAAACAGCTTGGCCGACATCGCCTCATCAACCTGCACGGCCTCATCTTGCCCGGCTAGATCAGAACTCAGAACCACTCCGCATACCTTTCTCGTCTCAAGCACAGCATCGACCGTTTGGCTCTCGACTGCGTCCTGTCTTGCGTATGAAGCAGACGCAGATATGGGAGTTTCCGAAAATAGGGGACCCTAAAATTGCACCGTAAATAGTAGGATACAGTAGGATCCTTATTATAAGGACCCCACAATAAGGTACCCCTAATTTTCTGAAACTCCCATATGGCGAACTAGAGACGGGGGGATGTTCACGCTGTGCTACCGCACGGACGAACCGCCAAAACTCAACGCTCAGCGTGTTTATTGTGAGCGCTGCGTGGAACATAAGTAGACATACCTATAGCTCGGTGGTCGCGCTTGCTTCTGGAGTGCGACGCTAGGCTGTCTGCCGGCACTGTATCATCTTCTTCGGAATCAGACCCATACCGGGTACACAACAGTAGCGTACCATGGTCTCTGGAAAATTTGAACACAGAGGACCACCCCCTGTGGTAAGCCCTATCTTCAGGGATCTTGGCTACACTGAACTTAGAACCCTAGCAAAAATTAAAATTTTAGCTGTTTCTTAAGGATTATAATAACCAAAGATTAAAAATCATTTCTAAGTACCCCTAAGTTGGTGTTGCACTATTGCAAACGACAGGCCGGCAGAAGCGCACTCACTGATAGAAGTGTTGGATCAGAGGCAGCAGCTGTGTCTCACCGTTGGTGTCGTCGGTGCCACCGTTGTCGTTGACGACCCACAGCGTGAGCTTGTCCATGTAAGGATCCTATACTGAACTTAGAACCCTAGCGAAAATAGTAATTTTAGCTGTTTCTTCGGGATTATAATGACCAAAAATTATTATAATTTCTCAGAACCCCTAAGGATCCTTTCGCTGTTTCTTCGGGATTATAATGACCAGAAATTAAAAGTTTTTCTAAGTACCCCTAAGGATCCTCCAGGTCCCCGGTGACGGCCAGGCTGTCGAACCGTTGCAGCACTGGCCCCCTCAAGTCCTGAACCGCTGAGGCTGGGGGTTTAGGGCTTGAGGTTTCAGGCCCGTGCTGTAAGAGTGTTGGGTCTTGTTGGGACGATGGCTTTAGGCTCGAGTCCTGCAGCTCCAGCAAGAAGTCTTCCACCAAGGTCTTCTCGATGACCGTCTCATTACCTTCTGGTAGCTCGGCCTTGTAAATGCGTCGCACGGCTGCGTCGAAGCCGCCCTGGCCGTCCGTCTCCAGGAACAAGAAGTGGCCATCGCCAAGCGCTGCGATGTCACGCAGCGCCACCACCCCACCGTCCTGCGACTCCGGAGCATCCAGGGGATAAGTGAAGGTCTTCTCGCCGCAGACGGGTGTCGTCAAGTTGCACACCAACACCGTGCCCCCGTACGTCGTGACCACGTAGCCGACATCTGGGTCATATGCCACGCCGGATGGAGCATCGCTGGCGTTGATTAGGAAAGAGTCTTGGAAGACACCGTTGTTGTTGAGGAGCAGGAGGCTGTCCGTCGTCTGGTCGACGATCACAAAGCCCTCGTCGTTGATGTCGATTCCGGAAATGTTCAGGTCCTGCAAGAAGGTGCCGTTCGGATAGGTGATGCTGATGGCTCTGTTGATCCTTGGGGGGTGCCTGGTACTTTGGATTCTGAGGATCTGCGGCTCAGCAAAGAACGCGCCCTCCACAGCCCAGAGAGTGTCGTTACCCTCTCCTGTAAGTCCTGCAATAGATCCCCAAGGAATGGGCAGGCCATTGACGTTTCTGGACTCCAAGAATGGATATTGAGTTGACCTTAGTTCCCATGCAATACTCTAGAAGAGACTCTGTAGAAATCCTCTAAAGACCCTGCAGAAGCCCTACCAAAGTAACATGGCCTAGTGACTGGCACTGGTAGATGTTCAGGCCGGATCGGATATCCAGGTCGAGGTTCGAAGCTTCAGAGGCTGTGATGTAGAGATTCCTTCGTGGGATTGTCCTGCCTTTCTCCGGGGTCCTGATTGAGGGCAGCGCCTGGAGGTACCTAGATCATTGTTGGGATCGGATTAAAAATGTACATTTTTATTCCTTATTGGGCTTAAGTACCCATAAAAATGTAAAATGTTACCCAACTATGACAAAGTAACCTGGGGTCACTGGCATTCGAGACCTCGAAGACATAGGTCAGGCTCGCCCTCTCGGATTGGATGAAGAGCATCTCACAGTTCTGGAACTGCCCATATGCAATGTTCTCTGGCTCGTTGCCTCTGTTCTCTGAGCGCTCGTCCGGGTAGTGTCCGAGCCTTACCGCAATGAGCTCAAGCAAGTTTCCTGCAGCTTCGTCAGGGTTTTGTGTCCGAACATCTTTCCGGCCTCTACTGCACCAGCCCGTGTTTACACAACTTGTTTCTCTGCTCTGTAACAAAGACGTCCACGCAGAAAGCCCGACAGTCCAGATCCTGAACCCACAGCCTCGAGACTCCAACCCTGGAGCCAAAACTCGACCCCTCCAGACCCGGAGCCATTCCCAGGAACCCCCACGGTTGATGATATAAATCCTGCATGACCCATAATAAAGTGTATACCATAATTCCCATAGTTTAGGGTCCTTAAGGTAATGCAGGATTCATATCATCAACCGAAGTACCCTTTAATAGAAGCTATTTGGGGTGTACTACTTGGAGGCCCTTTTGACTTAGTAAGTAGGGTAAGTAAAGTGGGTTATGGGGTTTGTAATAGGGTTTCTAGGGGATACTAAGTAGACTTACTGTACTAAGTCAAAAGGGCCTCCAAGTACTCCCTTAGTAAAGAACCATAGCAGGGATCCTGGGCCTTCTGATTTAGAACTACCCAGAGACTCCTATATCCCTTAATTAAGGAATATTCCTTAAATCATATTAGGAATCCTACTAAGGCCTCCAAGTAGAGGGTAGTTGGGGGTCTAGGGAGCATCAAGGCTAGCCTCGTGGCTACAGATTTTTATGGGGCGGTCTTGGGTTTAAGGTTTAATTAGGGTTTAGGGTTTAGGGTTTAGGGTTGAGGGTCTAGGGTTTAGGGTTTAGGGTTTAGGGTTGAGGGTCTAGGGTTTAGGGTTTAGGGTTTAAGGTTTAATTGGGGTTTAGGGTTTAGGGTTGAGGGTTTAGGGTCTAGGGTTTAAGGTTTAATTGGGGTTTAGGGTGGGTTTAGCTGTAGGTTACAAGGTGGGGCTTTTGACCCTTTTGAAAAATATTAGTAAATAAGATCCTCTTAAGCCCAATAAGGGAAAATATAAAATGTCCCAAAGCCCCACCTAGGTTAACAAGACACCAATGCAAAGGTGAAGGTACTGGATGTTAACACACCTGGTAGAGCCTCAAGTCCTAAAAGCCCCGAACTCTTTAAACTTTAACCGTGCAAGCCCTTGAGCTCGTGCGTCCAAGTGTGTTCAACTACCGGGCGGAGATCTCGGAGGTACGGAGGGAAGTTACACATTCTACTGTCACCGAAATGAAGCAATAAACCGACACCTCGTGTCCTGAGGTGAAGGCAACCTCGCCGTCCTCGTTGAAGACCGTAAAGGAGCGACCGCCTCCTGCTTCAGTGACTCCCTCGTCCGCGGTGGCGAAGAACTCCGACTTCTTCCCCAACCAGACCACTCCGTCCGGCTCCCTGCTGACATTCTCCAGGGTGGAGTTCAAGATGATTCGCCGGTCCTCGAAGATGTCAATGTCGGTAACGTTCGTGGTGCCAGCCGAGAAGCTGGAGATCACCGAGGCGTTCGTCAGGTTCACCAAGACGAGGGCGTTGTTCTCCTTGGCTGACTTCTGAACCCCTCCTAAAAGTTAAACTTGAAGCCTCCTTATTATGGTTCCTTTAGAAACCCCCAAAAAATTACAGCCCTAAGAGCCACCCTAAACCCTAAACCCCTAAACCCTACACGGCCAAGTCTCCTGCAGCGTGACCACGGCCACGTTGTCCTTGCCTTAGTTGCTGAGTTCATAAGCCCCCCAAAAGTGTACACTTTTGGTGTTATAGTGGGTAATATTATCCCCCAAAGTGTACACTTTTGGTTTTATAGTGCGTAATGTTATCCCAAAAAGTGTAAAGTGTATGCACTCAGCTACTAAGCTTACTACCCCAACAAGCCACAGAAATAAACATGTTAAACTTTCCGATTCCTACTGAACTATAAGAACCCAAAAAGTTTAAAGGTTAGGTATTGGGGATCTAAGCTAAGTTGCGGATGTTCACCCACGTAGGCCGTGGCGTTTCGGGGTCCAAAAGCCCTGGAAGGTCCGTGAGGTTGATGATGTCCGTGGTCCAGGCCATGGGATCCTGAGTAGGGGTTCCGAAAATTCGGGGGGTCCCTTTAAAGGGATCCTTAAAGGGATCTATAGGGGTTCTGTAAAGGGCTTAGGGTTTAGAGTTTCCGAAAATTAGGGGTACCTTATTTTGGGGTCCTTATAATAAGGATCATACTGTTTAGGGTACTATATCAGGGTCCCGGTTTTCGGAAACTCCCTTGCCAGAGAGCCCAATACCCCCTAAATTAAGGAATATGGCTTAAACTGTATAGGGCTTCATATTATGATTTAAGCTATATTCCTTAATTAAGGGGTATTGGTCTCTCTGAGTTCTTGTCAAAGACTTTAACTCAAGTTACCATGATACGGGACCATATTTCTTTACTGCAGATCCTTCTTATGGTAACTGAAGCCTTAAGCCCTAAACCCTTAAAGCAACCCTTATAGATCCCTTACAGGAACCCTCTTAAGCTCAACTCCTTAATAAGAAACCCAGGATCCGGGTCGGAGATGTTCACTCGCTGCAGGACGCCAGGTGGAGGCGCATTGATGGTAACGGCGGCCCAGGTCTCATCCGGGCTGATGGCCACAGCATTGGGCCGACCTGGGAGTTTCCGAACATAGGGGACCCCAAACACATGTACCCTAAATAGTAGGATCATTATTACGAGGACCCTAAATTCAGGTATACCCCTATTTTTCGTGAAACTTCCGGACCTGCAAGATCGATGGTGCGCACGACAGTTTGGGTAGTGACGTTCAGAACTTTCAGCTCGCCGGTGGAACTTCCATTGTCGAAAGCCACCAGCGCGAGGAAGCCTGTCACTGCCACATCGGTGGGGTCCGTGTCAAATCCGAGTGTACCCAGGGGTGTCGGCACGGCCGCATCGGTGATGTCCACGAAACCTACTGTGTAGATGCCGTCATTCGCCCTCGAGCTGGTGTAGACCGCTGTCTTCAGGTCCTCCGTCACCTTACCGTTGGTTAGTAGGGAATGGAGGAATGGGATAGAATTATAACTACTATTACTACCATTCTTCCATTCCCTACTAACCAACGGTAAGTCACATCCACTGAATCAACTTCGAACCTCTCTGTCGTGTTGTCGCAGGTCGCATTGAGCTGCTGACAAGCTTGAAAGAATCCGATGCGGTTGAAGGTGCAGCAACCCTTCCCGCAGCCCGGGCTGGGAGGAGACGGTGGGGGCGGTGGAGGCGGAGCAGGCGTGGTGGTCTTGTAGTAGTAGTGCTTCTTCTTCTTGCTCCACTCATAGATGGCACGCTTGAATTTGCGAATGAGCCTTCGGGGTCTTGCGTCTTCACTGCGACGGAGCACCTGAACAGCTGCTAGCTCATCGGTCTCACAGCTCTCTGCTGCATAGGCGCAGGAGCCGTTGAGAACCTGGAGCACCACAAGGAACGTCAAGCAGCGCATCCTCGAGGCTGCAGGAGAGGTGGGGACGATACAAGCTGCTTTTTGAGCCCAAATTCTTCAGGCGGCATCGGTCACTTCGGCATAAAGAAGCCTTGTTGTGCCCAAAGCCAAGCCTGGCGGCAGACTGCACTGCTTCATTGAGCCGAGGTGCACAAGTCAGGTGACTGCAGTACCGTCAGCTGCCGCATGTGACAGTCAGCTCACTCACCTGCAGGTTTAGGGTTCAGGGTTTAAGGTTTAGGGTACATGGCTGACGAAACGGAAGCGAGATTCCAACGACTCAAGTTAACATGCAAAGCCGCTGGGATCGTGCTCGTTTCAAGATTTCGGTGGATTTTGCGACATGCGCGGGTTGAAGAATCCTAAAAAACCTAAACCCTAAACCCCTAAACCCTTAAACCCTAAACCCTAAACCCATCTCCTGCAAATGGTGGATGCAGAGCCCGAAGGCCTGCCCTTGTGAACCGGAATGTCAGCTTCCACAGCCGAGGTCCTAAACTCTCATAAAGGGGCCTTCATAATTAGAATAGGGTTCCTTTAAAAGGGGCCCTTCAAGGGCTACTATAAGGGCTATTATAAGGATTTAGTATAGGGGCCTTAATAATTAGACTAGAATAGGGTTCTCTTTCGGGATCCTTTAAAGGGTCTATAGGGATCCATAAGGGCTACTATAAGGGTTTATAGAAGAGGGGCCTTAATAATTAGACCAGGGTTTTGGGGCCCATTATACAATAGTTATAGCAGGGAACCCACCACAATAGCGTAGGTAATTATTAAAGCCCTATTCTCAGTACACGGTCCTCTGTGGCGCCTGCGCAGCCGGCGCAAGGCCGTCAAGGCGACCAGGCCACCTGGAATGGGCTTTGGGCTTTAGGAGTTTAGGGGTTTAGGGGTGGGTTTCGGGCTTAAGGGTGTAGGGTTTAGGGGTTTAGGGTTTGGGGGTTTAGGGGTTTAGGGGTTTAGGGGTCTAGGGGATTAAGGTTTAGGTTCGCCGTAAGCGATACTGACACCTGAAGGGCTGAGGACCCTAGCCCAAAACAGATTAACCTTTGAGTTATGGTAGGGTTATAGAAACCCCAAATGCTTAAAGGTTGCCAATTCAGCTACTACGACAAACATGATGCGCAGCCGTGCCGGCGAGTAAAAGTGAAGGGTGATAGCGATGGTGAAAATACTAGGAAGATCTCCAAAACAACCTACTATACTACCGGAAGTAGCATGATGGTGAACCTCAGGATATTCAGCAATGGCTCAGAGTGGTATAGAATTCTGAGACTTGGTATTTACTTTCAGCCCTAACTAGGGCTTGCAGTTGTCGAGGTTAGCCTAAATCCCAACCTAAGATCAGGGTGCACGGCCTGAAGGCCCACTCAACACAAGCTGAAGCACGAGACATTAAGCGGTAGTTCGCAACATCCGGTTCCTTTGTACGGTTCTGGTTGCAAGAGTGACGCCTGTTTTGTAGCCAAAGAGAAAGAGGGACCTATATCTCGAAACATATAGTTGTAGTTATGGGTATCATCAACCGTAGTATATTGGGCGTTTGCACTTTTGGCAATCTGTAGGGGTTTGAGCTGTTCCACAGTGGGCCTTCTCAGTCAGGTGCCCATGTGACAACAAGGAAAGCACCGACAGTTACGGAACCCCATAGGGTCCTTATGATAAGTAGGGGCTCCTTTAAAGGGATCTATAAGGGTTCCTTTTAAAGGTCTCCTATAAGGGATCTATGGGGTTTGGGGTTTGGGACTTTCCGAAAATTCGGGGTACCTTAATTTTGGGGTCCGTATGGTCAGGATCCTAATATTTAGGGTACTCGATTAGGGTCCCCCATTTTCAGAAACTCCACACTTGGGGTGAAAGCCTGTCAAGCCCCTGGTATAGGGTTTGGGTTTTAGACGTTATGGTGTTCGGGGTTTAGGGGTTTGGGGGTGGGTCGAATCGCGGGATCGTGATGATGGCGATGGCCTTGCATGAGTTATTGGCGGTTCATGCAGAGCGCTGAGAAAGGACAACCCTAAATCCTAAACCTCTGTAGGATCATGAACGATAGGCTTCCTCCATCGTTCGTATTTGGGGGGGGGGGCAGTTGCCTGTCTCAGAACAAGTAGAATTAGAAGGAGGGCTGTTGTCTATCTATATTTAACTCGGTTCCTGAGTTGCCCCTTGATAATAAGGGCGCCCTTTTTCCTACTATTCGGCTTTGATAAGGGGACCCTAAAACAAAAAGGGCAAAATGGTACTACTCAGAAACCTAGTTAAGGTGCGCGAAGGCCTGAGGAATCATATTGGCTTTGTTTATTGGGGCTTGTGGTGGTGGTGGGGGGGGGTTCCTCTATAATTATAGTATAATATGCGCCGAAACCCTGTCTTAATTACTACGGCCCCTATGTTGTAGTGTTGCTTTTCTGTGTAGGCCCACCTCTTACCCAGAGACTCCAATATCCCTTAATTAAGGAACACACCTTGAATTATAGTAATTAGGATCCGTAATATGATTTAAGGAATAGGTGACTAGGTGGGGCTTTTAAAGCTTTTGGAAAATATTAGTAAATAAGATCCTCTTAAGCCCAATAAGGGAAAACATAAAATGTCCCAAAGCCCTACCTAGAGGAATGTTCCTTAATCAAGGGATATTGGAGTCTTTGGGTACTCTAACCCTATAGATCCCTTAAAGCAACCCTTCTAGATCCCTTTAAAGGAGCCCCTAATTAAGGGACATTGGAGTCTTTGGGTACTCACGACCCGAGTCGCTGGTTCTCCGAGTCGATGGTGGCCAGAGGAGGCGCAGGCCCAGGTGAGCGGAACCGACATGGGAGTTTCCGAAAATAGGGGACCCTTATATAGTCCCTTTAAAGGGTTACTATAAGGGTACTACAAGGGTTCCTTTAAACGGCTCTATAAGGGTTTAGGAGTTTCCGAAAATAGGGGACCCTAATATGGTACCCTAAATAGTAGGACCATTATTATAGGGTTGGCGGACACAAGGTCATAGGTGACAAAGGTGAGACAGAAAGAACAGACAGGTGCTGTTTCAATCACTGGAAACTGGCGATGATCGTGTCTAACGCGCTACAGGTGGCATCAACATCGGAAACTCCCACATGCTCCACGCAAAGAGATCAGGGGTGTAGGGTCCAGGCTTTAGGATCAGGGGTTTCGGGTTTAGGGGCCAGAAATATTATGGGTTTCAGGTCGAGGGTGTAGGATCGAGGGATTAGAGTGCAACTTTTTAGCCTCAATTAGGGTTCATGCTTGCCTGTACGACAGTACGGTTTCCGGCAACGCTTGTATAGCTCAGGATTAGGGCTTTTGGTTCAGCCTCGGGGCTTTTATGATTTAGGGGTTGTGCGGTTCAGGCTCGGGGCTTCGTGGTTTACGGGTGTATAGGGTTTTATGGTTAGGGGTAGGGTGTAATGATGTAGCATCTAGGCGAAAAGGACTAGGTCGAACGCCCACTTGATTTCACAAGCCGCTTGCAAGGCTGTTCGCAGAGTACTTGCCAAGTCTCGTGACTGCAGCAGAACATAGCTCGTACCAGCGAATTCGAGCTTAGCGCCCCGTCTCATGGACATCAGCTTTTCTCTGCGTTTGTAAACGACATAGGCTTTGTGGTGAGCGCTCACCTTTCCGTTCTACCGGTAATATCCGGTAATATCTTGCTCTTACTTCAGAAGTGCTTGTTCCGAGAGTGAGTCTCTTTGCCGGATCTAGCAATCATTGAATCTTGAAACCCATTCTGGAACTCTGTTGCGAGCCTTTCTCGAACCCTTACGAAACAATGGGAGAACTCTTATCGACGCTCGCAGATGGAACCCTTGGATCAGAACAACCTCTGCTTGAATTGCGAATCACTTCTCGCGGCTGCTGTCCGTCCCCTCACTGGTAAGATACGAATCCTCCTGCGAAGGCCGGCTTTGTCAAGAGGCTGTGCATGCGAGAACAGCTGTGCGAATCTGCGGGCGCTGAGGTTTGGCCAAACTTCTATCCTGATTCCAAATCCAGGCGTCGAAGCCCCAAAAGACCAAAACCTTAACCCGAAACCCATATAAATCCACACATCTTAACCCGAAATGCTGCGCCCAAAACACCGCCAATCCTCAAGGTGTCCTTAGCCCCGCTGCTAGCTTCGAGCCATGCTTGGGGTATAAGGTTTCGGGAGCAGGGCATGGCGTTAGGACTTACTAAACCCTTAACCCTAAACTCTAGACCCCTAAACCCTAAACTCTAAGGTTTTTCGGCTCCACCATTAGGGGTTTCAGGACATCGACCTCACGTAGTAGGATGCTTCTTATAAGCAACACCCCCCGCAAAAATCTGATATAGGAGCCTCAAAAACCAGAGTTGGGCATGGTTTTGGTATAGCTTGAAATGCCTTAGTGGTATGCCGACCCAGCGAGGGTCCTCCTCGTCGTCGCCCGTCTCCACTTTGCCCGTCACCAGCAGCTGCCATATCCTAGCGTACGAGCCGAGCCCCTTACAAGGGCTGGCAGTCTCCGAGACGGTGATCTTTATACTTTATACACCACTCTACCACTCTAACCCTCAACCCACCTAAACCCCAGACATGAAGCTGAGCCTTCACACCCGAAAGCTTAAGCGTAGGATTCATGTTATAGGTCACAGCTTCCGGCCTTGAATGTGAGATCCCTTGCCGGTACCGAGAGACTTCACGGCGCCTGAAATGGGACGCCCTCTGAAAACCCTACCTTTTAGGGCTCCTGATCATGCTTTCCTTATATAATATAGGAGCCTTAATAATTAGAATAGGGTTTTGGGGCCCATCATACTATACTTATAATAAGGAACCCCCACAACAGTATTGGTAATTATTTAGGCTTCTACATTAAGTCTTTACAAAGGTAGGTTATTCCGGGTTAAGGTAGGGTTTCCGGAATGGCCGCACTTTTTGAACCCTAGCCAAGCAAAACGCACACTCGAAAACCAGCCGCTGTCACAAGTCACAAGACGGTAAATTAAGGATGTATTGTTAATCCCACTTA